GCATTCCTCATCTCTCCCCCCAAACTTATGTTGTTGGCTTATGCTAAGGAAAGATAGGGTGCCAAGAGATGGACTTTTTAGAACGGGTAAAGGCTTGTAACATGGTCTTTGAAAGAAAAAGGTATATGGCTCAAAAGGGTTGACTAGAGATATTGTCATTGGTAGGCTATGGAAGTTTTCAAGATATCAGTCAGATCAAGGAGATCCTATAATCACTTCTCAAGTCAAACTACATAAAATTTTGCCTAGACAAACATTCAGGGTAAGTTCTAGACTAATGGCTCGGGACTTGAACTTGCAATTCAAATTCTCACCACACAAGCTATGGGATTGCTAAAGTGACAAAGTCGGGGGCCCACAACAACCTTAGCTAAGATTTGAGCAACACGAATGGTCTCGAAAAACCACTTGATGATTATCGGCCAACACAAAAGTCTCAAGGTCACAACTTTCACCATCCTAACAACAATTGTTTTTGACCATAAGATCAAAGGCAAATGTGTTAGGCCCAAATAAAGCTTCGCATGAGGCACCATTACTCACTAGCTACTATTTACACCAAAAACAAAAAAGAAAACAGACTCAAACCCTTAAGAAGGTTGTCATGCCATCCATCATCGGGAAGAGCCACTCGGTTCACACAAATTTCACCTTTGGAAAGAACCATGTCATTAAGAAAACCAAAGGCTTATTGCACGCAAAACTCAAAACAAGAAGCTACAAAAATGAAGTAAGAAGATATGAAAGAAAATGCGGAAAGTAAAATGAATATGTAAGGATTTAGACGAATATACATAAAGGGGAATGAATATATACATCAGAAAGTAACTTTATATAAAGACCAAGGTTTCAAAGTACGAAAAATGCAATAAACTAGTAAAATTATATACATACCAAAAGTAAAAAGAAAGCATAATAAAAAGAAAGTAGTATCATATTTACAACCCAATGTCATCAAAATAGGGCTACCCTCTCAAACAAAATCTAGCATTGTCCTCAATGCTAACTAACCAAAATAAGATCAATAAAAGATATAGAGTAAAGAAAAACTCCCTATTGGCCCTATGTCTACATGAGATCATGAGCATGGGTCGCTGGGTCCTGTGACTGCTCGAGAACCTGTGATAGGATCCTGGTATCCTGTGTCTGCACTGGGACCTGAAGCTGCTCTGGGGCCTGAGGTGTTACAACCCATATCCACATGTGTTAGTTCATGCCATATATTAGTTAACATAAATCCAANGCTGGCTAGAGGAACCTCCCTACGGGTCCTCCAGCTCTATCACTGCATCATCAACTCGAGAATCACCCTCTTCCTCTTTGCTGGTCTCTCCATCTCCTGCTCCGGCTCAGGCTGGGCTGCTGAAATCGGGTCATGCAATAACAGCTCCAATGGCAAGTGGTCAGCCTTCATTTTCTCCACTTTCTCAACTCCTTCACAGACTCCTTTGATGCTCGAGTCTTTCTTAACTTCTTTGTTTCCTTTGCCAGTTCCTTCAGTGCTTTTCCATGAGTACCCACAACATCCAATATTAACTTCTGGTTCTCCAGGAGCCTCTTCTGGTTGTCCAAAAGCTCCTTGAAAGTCTACTCCACTGAGGCTGGAATCTATCGTTGTAATCTATGGCTGTGGAGGTACGTACTGGGCTGCCACCGAGCTAGAAAGCATAGACAGCTTATAAGTAGCTATCTGCATCCAATTGTTGATACTGGCAAGGGTTTGGCTCAAACGGTAGGCAGTCAAAGGGTGGGTTGTGGATGAGGGAATATCTGGAACTGTGGAAGTAGAGGGTCCTGGGGCAATGTCTGGTGTAGCTGAGGGAGGCTGAGAAGAAGCTACTACTACTACTGGCTCTGCAGACTGGCCAGTAGAAGCAGTGGAGGATCTTTGGGGTTATCATCCCCCTTGAGACTGTACCAAGAGAAAGGTGCCTTGGGTTTCACTTTCATATCAAACTTCATTTTCTCCACATTTTGATCCTCAAAGTACATGGTCAGGAAATTTGGGAAGGGGTAGGATCTATCACCTTCATTCACCACCCTTGTTATCACCCTGGACATACCATTCCCGATGTTGATCGGGTACCCCGCCATGATAGAAGCCACCAATATAGCCCGGGAGATAGGAAGAGAGTTCATATGAGTGGTGGGGTCTAGCCTGCTGCAAAACAAAGGTCTCCCACCCTTTTGCCTCGAAGTTCAGGGTTCTCCTCAAAATTTGGACTCCGGCTGTCAACCATGCTGGGGTGGTACCTGGGAGTGCTAAGTACTCCGGTACCCATGGACAGGCATCCTCAACCAATGCTACCTTTTCTAAGTATAATGTTTCATCCTCCTCCGAAAAGCCCAGGTAGTCATTATTGTCTTGCCATCAAACTTCACTGTCAAGTTATGCACCTTAGTCACTTTCGTGCCCTTTTTTATGGAGGCAACATTAGCATAGAACTCCTTGACTAGGTGCTCATTTGCCTCCTCAACATTGCCTGTAAAGTAATCCCAGCCCGGCCTCTCTCTGAATTGCCTCTACACATTAGGATTGTGAGGCAGAAGATCCTTGTCAATGAATCTCCGTTCATGTATCAGCTTCCTCTCAGGCCACCACTCTCAGAATTTGTGGTAAACAATCTCACTGACGAATCTCCTTTTCCACACCTTGGGGTTTCTAGTTCTTTCCACACCCCCGGATTGTGGCACACCCCTTCTCTTTTTATCCAGAACCTCATCATCGATAGGATCCTCTCCAAGTGATGAACCAGTAGGGGAAGTAGATATTGCACTGTCACTGCCCTCAACTGAGCCCTCAGACGACTCAGAAGAAATTGCAACTGAAGCTTGAGCACTAGGAGTGCTTGGAGGTGTATCTCTCAATTTGTGCCTCTCCGACCAGTCAGGAAAATACTCTGGCACCGATTCGGAGTTGGATGCCTCCCGGGAGGGCAAATACTCACTTCCCAACTGTGAAGCAGCTCTATCCGCGGCCTTTATTGATTTTCTGGTATCCTTAATTTCCTGCCGGACTTGGGGGGTCAATCTGATCATACCTTGTCCCCTACCCCGGGAGGACTCTCCTTGTCCCTTTTGTTTTCCACCACCGCCTCGTAATTTAACCATTTTCTGCAAGTGGAATTCAGTTGAAGCTTGTTAGTATCATAGTATTAGAAGAATCAATGAAGAAAATAATTGTAGACAGCAGACTACGGACCGCATGAAATACAATGCGGCCGCAAAGGGACCACTACGGACCGCACAAAATGGCACAACGGTCCGCACTGAAGTGGGAGTTAGAATACCCACTCTCTGATTAGGGCCACCGCGGACTGCAAGAAATGGTCTGCAACCGCGGTAAGGCACCACGGACCGTGAAATATCGACCGCGATTGAGGTCCTCAACATACACCTCTCTGAAGTTTAAACATCGCGGTCCGCATAAAATGGCATTGCAGACAGCAGAGAGGCACCACGGACTGTACAAAAATCATTGCGGTCGCGGTAAGCTTAACCCAGCCACACCAACTTAAGGTTTCAATTTTCTTCACATTTTAGCCTAATTTTCACATATTCTTTTATCCCCAAGGTGTTCAATCACTATTTTTCACTAATTAACCCTAATCTAAACATCATTACGTACACCTACACTACAATTTTAAAGAAAAGGGAAGAAAAACAAGTATAAATAACTAATTAAAAGAAAAATAAAATAAGGTTGAAAACTAGGGAAAGATTAAAATTACTAACAATGAGATGTAACACAGATGATTTAGAAACAGAGTTTGAATTTGTGCAGTTAAGGCTTGGATGAACAGTACTTTTTTCCTATTTAGAGCGTAAATGAGCGAAAAGGGTAAATGAGGGTTTGAGGTCCTATTTATAGAAAAAGAACTTGGGACCCACTATACTTATCACCGCGGACCGCATAAAATACACCGCGGTCACCGGTGCTTTAACATATGAAGTACTGGGGAGACAGGCACTGTGGACCGCACAAAATGTTCCGCGGCCGCAGTAGGGCACCGCGGACCGCAAGAAAGGCAATGCAGACGTGGTGACAACTTCAGAGAGTCTCCACCTTTTACCAAACATAATGAAATTTTGCCCCCGCAATAAGGCCATTGCGGCCGTGAAATATGCATTGCGGCAGCAGTCCAAACTTCAGAGAGTGCATCATTTTTCTAGTTTAGTCCTGCACTGCATCAAATCAATCCTACACACATCTCACAACCAGTTATACCAAAAGCAAATCCTATACTAAAAAGAAAATCAAAGAAAAATAGAAAGAAAGGCACATGGGTTGCCTCCCAAAAAGCGCCTGATTTAACGTCGCGACACGACACAGGTTACCATCAAATCACTTTAAATGGATCAGTGCCACCACGTGATTGTCATCAATCTTCCCAAGGTAGTGCTTGACTTTGTGACTATTAACTCTGAAGACCTCCCCATTTTTGTTTTTCAAGTCAAGTGCACCAAACAGAGTCACAAACACCACTTCAAACGGTCCACTCTATTTCGGCTTAAGCTTTCCTGGAAACAGACGTAACCGAGGATTGAACAAGAGAACCAAATCACCCACTTTGAACTCTTACCACGAGCATACTTATCATGAAGGTACTTCATCTTATCCTTGTACAAGGACGAACTGGAGTAGGCATGGAATCGAAATTCATCAAGTTCATTAAGCTGCTCCACACGAAGATTTGCTGCCACATCCTATTCAAGATTCAGCTTCCTCAAAGCCCCCATGACCTTGTACTCTAACTCAATCGGTAGATGGAAAGCTTTTCCAAACACCAACCAATGCAGAGACATACCAATCGGAGTCTTGTAAGCAGTCTTATAAGCCCATCACTACAACAAAAAGTACTTTTTGCGACAATTATTTTATGGCAATAAATTAATTGTTGCTAATTCATTTCTTACGCCAAATTATTAACGGCAAATGAGTATTAGCCACAAAAATGCAACCTCTCCACTGGAAATTGAATATGATGGACAGTAAAAGTTAAAAGCAAACTTTATCCCCATTTTTCATTGCATAAAAAACAAATAGTTTGTTCCCTCACAAACAGATCTAACTTATGAAATTTCGTCACTGGCGACCAACTCATCTCTCTCCATCGTCGGCACCTTATCGCTACCTCAGGTAATTTTCGACTCATCTCTCTCTACTCTCTATCTCTTTTTTGCGATTCTAAGTTGTTGAAATTCTAATGGAGTATGCTAAGAAGAATGGAGAAGGAAACTGGAATGAGTTCAGAAAGGTTGACAGAATGTGGGAAAAGTTACTTGTAGATTAATCCTTTGAGACCTAATCTTAGTATAGTGGAAGTACTAATATTTTGGTATATAATGATATTCTCGGGTTCATGAATCAGGATTCATAGATAAATTAGAACGTAAACTAAAATTTTCAAAATGGATTGATGGATTACGTATCCTTTTTTCGATTAATAGATCGGTAATTTGCTCGCCGCTCATCATTTGACTGAATTTTGTATCATATGCGCTATTGATAGAATCAGATTCTTAAGTGTTTAATCTGGTAATAATTTCACTATTATTATAAAGAATACTTGGAATTAGAGTTATCTCTGGAAAATCCTAACGATCTTTTCAAGTGAATGTATTGATCCATTTTGTTACTAGCAAGAAGTGAAAGACTTGTTCTAATGCAGTTAATTCTAGAAACTTAGGAAATTGCAGTAATTGAAAGAGTAGTAGCTTAGAAGAAGCAAAAAATTATTAGGTTTCAGTCGATGAAGACGTAAAACGGGAGCTCGGCTCCTTAAAAATACTGAGATTCTTAAGGACCCGGACCAAGACCACGACGCAAAGTGTCCAAATAGGAAAGCATAATAGAGTAAATGTGTATATAAGACTTCTTTGCTTGACAGATAACTGGACTTAACTGTAAACTATATAACTTATAACTAACTTATATTCCTTTTGTTAGGTACAACTCTCTCAACTTTAATCTAGCTCACATCATGTTCACTAGGGTACTCTAGATTAGACTAATTATTTACTTTAGAACAAAAAATATTGTGTGATGTTAAACTTTAAACATGGCTGACCTTCTTTAAGATTGGTAAAACTAAAGAACAATTAAGAGAAAATAAGTGATTTTGGATGAAAGAAACGCAAGCACTATAAAATGTTGGATGGTGTGCCTTGGAGTTACTTGTTTTAAGAGTAGGTATCTCTAGGCTCTGATGATGTGCCTAAGAGTTGGTTGCATCACACATAGTTTTCTTTTATAAACAATCAGGTTGAGATTGTAAATTTGTAATTCTTCAATTCTTTGAACTTTTATGTATCTGTATATCTTGTAGCTTCTAGAATCAAAAAATTAAGAAGCAGAAGAAATTAACTTTTGAAATTCAAAATTTTTTGTTGCATCTGATCAAATACACTTCGGGATTTATCTTTTTTTTATAAGGGAAAGTTTTATCATTTCAGCACAAAAGAAAAGGTATGTCATTTTAAATCTCTTTGATTTTTGTTTATAGATTCTATCTACATTATTATCTTTCTGATATATACTATGTTATCAGCGACATCACTATTAGATTTTGAATTAAGTCCACTCTAGTCTTTCATCAATCTGCTGATTGGCAATGTGCTGAACCAACATTAATAGATGCATCTTATCAATTCTTTTAGTTCAAATAATCTTGAGCTTATAGAAACTATCAACAAAGATATAAAATATTATATTCTAACTTAATTATTTTCCCTCACAGACTCACAGATGTTAAGGTGATTTTTATATCTAGGGTTGGAGTTAATTCCCTTCCATCATTTTCTGAGAAAAGCAAATCGCCGCCTCCACATGCTCGAGCCGATTGCGATTGTGGATTACCTCATCAAGCTCCGTATAGACTCATAGTTACTAAGGTGCTTGGTTGTTCCCTAATCGAAGTCATAATGAGGTACATTAAGTGATGATTAAGAAAGTACATTTTTAAATTTATCTATACAACAATGGTGCGTGAATTTCTACAGCGACATTTTTTCTGTAGTTACATTATATTTTAGGTCAGGATTATGTCCCTATTGTATTTGATATTTTGGTTCAAAGCCGATGGCGGCACTATTAGTCTGAGACTGCAGGAATTGTCTAGGGCATTAGTTTATATTTTACTTTTAATATCATTGTAATGTTATTGACTACCTCTACTGTTAGATTGAACAGGGTAGGATGATTACAATAGATTGGGGCCTTGAGCTATCGTGGGAGGATGTATTTAGAATTTTAAACTGGAATTTTCTCTTGTTTGCAATGCCAATTATGAAAATTCCCCAAAAGAGGTAGAGTTCCTTCTTAATTTTACTTGCTTTTAAAATACAATGGAGAAATGCTTATGCTAGCTGTAATATTAATCCTCGTTATCTTGAAGCAAGTTCATAAAGACCTTGGCATGTTTAAGTTTTCACTTCAGCTATTTGGTCCAGGTAGAGGGTGGAATATCAACAACACTAGTACTTTCTAATGTGGCATTTTAGAATTTTTGGTCACTCCTCTCATTAGGACTCTTTGTCGTTGTTAATCGCTCAGTTTCTTTGTTTAATGGAGGCACATCCTTCCTGAGTGAGACCATTCATTTGTCTTAACTTAGACTGAAAAGGTATCTTAATCCCTAATTTCACCTTTTTTGATTTCAAGCTACTTGCGCCTATTATATACAATTTTCTATTTGGACTGACATTTGACCTTCTTTCTATTGTTGGACTTTAAGAACTTAAATTTTACTGCTCGTTATATATTTAAGTATTGTTAATGAGTAATTTTTTTGTATTGCAATGACAGAATTGTAGTCAAGCAAATAGAATCAATAGGGCTAAGCAAAATATACCTCACATGGGAGTATCCAAAAGCATAGCAACCTTTATGAATGAAAAGGTATTCATGCATAAATTATATATTATAAGATTCTACAAATATTTTTTATCATGCATGACATTTGACATTAACTTAGCTTTATTAGGCTATAGATGGAATAGAGCTTACACGTGCAATAGTTTACATATTAACTCATACAAAGCGTAAGGATGGTAGACCATTAGATGAAGAGTCTTGAAATAAAGTTGTAAGATTTCTTATAAAAGACATAAGATTTTAGATGGATAAGTAAATGATAACCTTATACATGGATTGAAGCTAGATTAGCTAATCTTATACATGGATTTAAATGGTCATTGCCTAATAGTATGACTCTTGAGGACCTCAACATGGATGAAAAATATACAAGATTTAAAATGGATAAGTAGACGATACCATTACAAAAGATTTAGAGCACGAGTTCAAACAAAACACGAAGTTTATCTTAATGGAACCATAGAAGTGCTGAATCAAATAGAGTAAAGTTTTGGTGAATGTCTTGGCTCAATCACAACAGCAAATGGAAACTTTTTAGGTATGGAGAGCCCAAAAATCTCATCCATGTTGAGGTCCTGGGGAGTCATATTATCAAGCAATGACAATTTAAATCCATGTATAAGATTAGTCAATCTAGCTTGAATCACCTTAAGCCCCAAGTTATAACCAGGGCATATCCTTCTCCCATCTCAAATGGTAGGCCACTGGATGATGATTCTGTCAAGACAATCGTAAGATTTATTCTTTCTTTTATTTTGTTGGTTTGATGACTCCGTCAAAAAATGTGCATTGTTTCCTGCTCATGAATTCCAAAATTGATTTATTGTATATTCTATGGTCAGGAAATGATAAATAAAAGGATGTGCAATTGTGAGAGATCTACTGAGCAACCTCCTCGTAGTGTTGCTTGGGAAGGCGATATGTATTCTCAGGTATTGGGAAATGAAAAAAGTGGGTATGTTCGTAGTTTAGAACTTGGTCCAACTCCTTCTGTTCTATGGGGTAGTAGGTCTTCCTTAGGAAATATTATGGCAGATGATTCTTCTAATGAGGTTATACAAAGGTTAGAACATAAGATAATCGAGTTAAAGGAGAAACAAAATGAAGAAATGAATATGATGAAACAAAATCAGGAGATGATGCAATCAGAATTACTCCAAATAAGACAACTCATGCGCAAATATGCTCCTGATGCATCTATGCCTCAAAGTAGCAATGGCACTTCAGGTGAACATATAACTCCATTTCATAAGCTTTAGACATTTTTAATGAAATTCTAATCATATAAAAGTATTTTTATCTAATATATTGATATTTATTAGATCCCTATTTCCAATAGTGGACATGAACGAGTACCACAAACATCAAAGATGCCTAGTGTTGCTAAAAATGCTCAACCTTCTCATGGTACTACTCATATTTGTCCTTCGTTGCTATTGTTTTTCCAGTTTTCGCATGCGATCCATGCTTGTTCTCTTGATATCCCATCAAATTCTCAGTAGCATATTGTCCAAGATTTTAGCTGTAGCTTTTATTTCTCTACTTGTGTATCAAAATTGTCCGCAAACCTCATTGCTTCTTGTGTCCAGTAGAAGTGCACATAGTTGATCATGCACAGTTTGTCGTGAAACTCTTGTGAATTCCAATAGTAGATTTATGTGTCCTTTGTGTGACACCATTGTAGGGATGTAGAATGATTGAAGTGCATTAGGATGAGATACCCCATTACCTTCATAATTCCCTTATTTTTATGCCAAAGCAGTGTATTTCCTTTGAATGGTCCTTTGATTGTGGGCATCGTACTGTTGCATCTCCAACATTCCTTCTTAGTTGTACCTTCCATATATAGGTACTGATCATTGATGTACTAGGGCAGAAATAACACCCTCGAGTACTAGAGATCTTCCAAGCTTCCATACTTGTGCTCATCTGTGATATCCTTTCCTGGGAATGAGCACAATGTGCTAATACCACCCATAGAATTTCAATCACAAGATGAGGTATGGTGACAGTATCATTTCCTGCTATTTTTCCTCTATTACACCAGTTCTGTATCTCATGTGATGTTGCATTTTTCATGACTTATGTTTTCTAGAATCACTTTGATGTTATCCTTGTATGATCCTCCATATAGATTAGAAGAGTATAAAAGACAATTGTGTACTGCCTCCTCAACCCATATAATTGTCTCGTTTTAATTGCCTAAGAGACAGGACTGTCATAGTGTTATACTTGATAAATCTGTGCAGTCTTCTATTATTATTGCCAAGTCGAATGTCCCAACCTTGTAGCTCTAACAAATAGCTACTGGTGTGTATTTTAGGAACTAGGACATATAGATGTAAGGTTGACAAACTCCACCTCCAGTTTGTGGCAAATCTAAGTGTCTCATTTTCAACATAGCTCTTGACTAATTCCTTGGTCTTTTTTACTTTCCCAGTCAGTAGCACTTCATCTGAGTTCAAAAGTCCTTTGCCCCATAACAACAACTTGAAATATGTATTGTCAAATCTGACTGGTGATGTGAAATCTAAAGGGGAAATGTTATTGTCTCCGCCACCTTTGGGACAAGTTGCTTTTAAACCAGTGTAGTAAGTTTCCTCAAGTGTTGCATCTGGAAAGTTGTAGATGCTGCTGTTGTTTAGATGTTGCTGTCATTTAGATGTTGTTGTTGTTATTTGGATATGAGGCTTTCCTCTTCCTTATTGTGGCTGGGGCAATCTACATATGTTGTCATCGACATATGCTGTTGTCGTTTAGTTGCACTTTGCAAAGAATTTGCTTAATTCTTATTTTCAGTTTTGCTTCTTGATTAAATTCTGTTTTGAATTGAGTGTTGGTTCGACTATCTGCTGCTAAGAATATTGTTGGATTGAAAAATCAAACTATTTTTACTAAGCTTCAGTAGGTAGTTGTTGAAGTTTGGGTTCTAATCAATTTGATTGAAATGTTCATATTTTAGCTTAGTTGTTTCTGCTTATAGATGTTAGGTGAGGGAGTTGGCTACTCTAATAGTGGTGGAATGTTCAAGATATTTTTTCATGTTATACTTTATCTTTTGACACAATTATTTTATAATTTCAGGTCAAACCGTCTGATGTTGGATAATTTAGCGGGTAAAAGATTTCAAAATGATGAAAAGTTGCGGAAATCATTTGAAGACCATCATTCGTCCGGATTAGTTATATAATGACATTAGCTATTTAGTTTAAACAATATATTTTTATGTTTTAAATTACTGTAATATTAATATTTTTGATTAGTACTTCCTTTTGTTTGTTAAGATTAATGGGGTACATTATATTTTTTTAATTAATATTAATATATTTTATTATTTGAGCCATATTCTGTATGAATGTAGTAACTTTTATTAATTGTGGCTAAACTATTTATAATTGATGTAAAACAGTTATCGTTAAAGATATTGACATTTAACGGCAATTTAGTTAAACATATTAGCCATTAAAATGGAAGCTAAAATGGCAAACTAAGATGTTTTCATAAGGGATATTATGGCCATTTTAATTGCCACAAAATAATTGCCATTAAAGATGCGAACTTTTAGTGGAAAATATTTTTAATTTAGCAGCTATAAAAAATAGATGCTAAAGAAGTATAATTAGCCGTTTGGATTGGATTTAATAGCCATTATAATTGTCGCAAACAATTGCCCTTAAAGATGCGGTTTTTAACGACAATTATTTTGAATGTAGCGACTATAATAATGGACGGTACAGAAGTATAATTAACCGTTTTGGATTGGATTTAGTAGATATTATAATTTCCGCAAATAATTGTCGTTAAAGATAATAACTTTTAGTGGCAATAAAATATAACGTTCACTAGCTTTTGCAAGAATAGCCACTAAAAGACTAATGGCCGGTAAAAGATATAGTGGCTCTTATTATTGCCGCTAAAGCCATTTTGTATTGCAGCTAAAGGTCTTATTTGTAGTAGTGCATAGAGCATCATCCAATTTCTTTGACCAATCGGTCCTATTTGCATTGACTGTCTTTGACAATATACTCTTGGTTTCCCTGTTTGAGACTTCAACTTGACCACTCGCCTGAGGATGATAAGGAGTAGAAACTTTGTGATTGACACCATACTTTGAAAGCAAAGTGTCAAAAGCTCGATTACAAAAATGAGACCCCCATCACTTATGATTGCTCGAGGAGTGCCAAACCTAGTAAAGATGCTCTTCTTGAGAAATATAACAACACTCCGGGCCTCATTGTTGGGCAAAGCCACGGCTTCAACTCACTTTGAAACATAGTCAACTGTCACTAGAATGTATGTGTTCTCACACGAGTTAACAAATGGGCCCATGAAATCAATGCCCCATACATCAAAAATATCAACTTCAAGAATGGTATTGAGAGGCATCTCATTTTTCTTCGAAATTCCAACCGCTCTTTGACATTCGTCGCATCTCTTCACAAGTCCACTTGCATCTTTGTACAAAGTTGGCCAATAAAACCCACAACTAAGAACCTTCAAAGCGGTCCTCTCCCCATAGTGATGACCACCATAGGGGGAGGAATAACAAGCCTCTAAGATACTTAATTGCTCCTCCTCCGAGACGCACCTTCGGATGACACCATCCGTGCAGATCTTGAACAAGTACGGCTCATCCCAATAAAAGTCCAAACTGTCCCGTTTGAGCTTCTTCCTTTAGTTAGAAGAGAGCTCACACGGGGTTATACCAGTCATAAGGAAATTAGCAACGTCCACAAACCATGGCATACCATTCACCAACACAGAAAGGAGTTGCTCATCGGGGAATGAATCATTGATCTCTAGGCCATCACGAGGCCTCCCCTCCTCCTCCAAGCGGGACAAGTGGTCCGCCACTTGGTTTTCACTACCCTTCTGGTCCATAATCTCCAAATCAAACTCTTGAAGTAACAAAACCCATAGCATCAGCCTAGCTTTGGATTCCTTCTTCGTCATCAAGTACCGGAGTGCGGCATGATCGGTATGAACTATGACCTTGGCACCCATGAGATACTGCCGAAATTTCTCCATTGCGATTACAATAGCCAAAAGCTCTTTATCGTTCACCCTATAGTTCATTTGAGCATCATTCATTGTCTTGCTTGCATAATACACTGGATGAAATATTTTGTTCACTCTTTGACCCAAGACTGCCCCAGCCGCAACATCACTCACGTCACACATGAGCTCAAAAGGTAAGCCCCAATTGAGTGTGGTAATAATAGGTGTGGTGGTCAACTTGTGCTTGAGAAGTTCAAAGGCTTGCATACATCCCTCATTAAACACGAACTTGGCATCTTTTTCCAATAATTTTCACAAGGGATTCACTACCTTCGAAAAGTCCTTGATAAATCTCCGATAGAACCCCACATGCCCAAGAAAACTTCTAACTCCTTTGACAGAAGTAGGGAGAGGGAGCCTTGAAATCACTTCAATTTTTGCTTTGTCCACCTCTATACCGTGCTTTAAAATTTACGGCCAAGAACTATGCCCTCCTTAACAATGAAGTGACATTTCTCCCAATTAAGCACAAGTTTGGTTTCTTCACAATGGGCCAACACTCTATCAAGATTTTTCAAACATTCATCAAACGAGTCACCCACAACACTAAAGTCATCCACAAACACCTCCAAAATGTCTTCCACCATATTGGTGAAAATGGCCATCATACACCATTGGAATGTAGCCGATGCATTACACAACCCAAAAGGCATCCTAGAAAAGGCAAAGGTACCATATGGACAAGTGAAGGTGGTCTTCTCCTGATCTTCCTGAGCAATCAAAATTTGGTTGTACCCAGAATACCCATCCAAGAAACAGTAGAAGACACGCCCAGCAAGTCTGTCTAGCATCTGATCAACAAAGGCAATGGAAAGTGATCCTTGCGGGTCACTTTATTCAACTTGCGGTAGTCTATGCACACCCTCCACCCGATGACAATCCTGGTAGGAATCAACTCATTTTGTGCATTGGTACATACCACCCTTCTTCGGCACACATTGCACCGACGAAGTCCAAGAGCTATCAGAGATGGGTTACACAACCCCAGCATTCAACCACTTGATCACCTCCTTTTTCACAACTTCTTGCATTACCTCGTTCAACCTCCGTTGATGTTCCAAGGAGGGCTTTTTATCATCTTCAAGAATAATCTTGTGCATACAAAAGGTGGGGCTTATTCCCCAATATCAACTAATGTCCATCCAATTGCCTTCTTCCGCTTTCGGAGCACCGCCAATGTGGCATCTACCTGCATGTTAGTAAGACAAGATGAAAGAATAACTGGCAAAGTTGAACTAGGGCCTAAGAATTCATACCTAAGGTGTGGAGGCAATAGCTTCAACTCCAACACCGGAGGTTCATCGATTGAGGGCTTTGTTGGTGGAGTCTTCCTATCCAAAGAGTGTTTTCTATGCTCATAAGAGTAGGAGCCCATTCCATGTAGAGCATTGACACACTCCACTCGGCCTTTATCCTCATTTACATCAAGATTCAACAATGCCGCCTCTATAGGGTCCTCTACATTGATCATTGCACTAGTATCATCAACTATCACTGTTGTGCAAGATCCATAAAAGATCACACTTCAAAACTGTTGGGTTGCTTCATTGACTTGCACACATGAAAGACTACATTCTCATCACCCACCCGGAAGGTGAGTTCCCTTGCTTCCACATCAACTAAGGCCTTCCCAGTAGCAAGGAAAGGTATTTCCAATATGATCGGAACCTCATAATCTACCTCACAATCCAAGATCACAAAATCAGCCGGCAAGATAAATTTGTCCACCTGGACAAGAACATCATCAATTATACCCAATGGTCTCTTCACCGTTTTATCGTCCATTTGCAATCTCATGGAAGTCGGCCTCGGTTGCCCAATACCTAAAGTCTTGAAAACTGAGTAGGGCATCAAGTTGATACTTGCCCCCAAATCACATAGAGCCTTTGCAAAGTCTGCACTCCCAATGGTACAAGGAATGGTGAAAGCACCGGGATCTTCTAGCTTCAGGGCCATTGAGTGCACTATTGCACTAACTTGGTAGGTCATCTTGATAGTTTCACAATCCATGGATCTTTTCTTTGTCACCAAATCTTTCATGAATTTAGCATACCCCGACATTTGCTCTAGATCCTCCACCAAAGGCAATAAATTTCTTGAACTGATTCTCATTTTTCTGCTTCGCTAGCCTTTGAGGATAAGGTGGAGGTGGCCTTGGCAAAGGAACCTTGGCTTTAGGCACAACCGTTTCTGGCATGTCTATTACGTGTTCCCTAGACGGGTTCACGTCATTCTGAGTTTCCTCCTCGGCCTCATGGATATCAATCCTCACTTTCTCATTCATCCACCAAAGGAATCTCATCTTTTTGCAACTCCACTTCGTCACTCAAAATTTCTTTTTGTTTGGAGTTATTCACATCACCACTTCGTCCACTTCTTGTAGTTACCGCCATTACATGTCCGGAATTGTTCCCACCCTTCGGGTTGACTACCGTATCACTAGGTAGAGCCCCCTTAGGGTGAGTATTCAAGGATTGTGAAATTTGGCCTAATTGAACCTCCAAGTTTCTGATTGAGGTATTGTGGGATGCCAACTGGGCATCAGAGTCAGCATTCTTTTTCATCATCTGTTCAAACATCATTTCAATTCTCCCTATTTCATTGTTAGACAAACTAGGACCTTGGAACGAAAATGGGGGTGGATTGTTCGGTTGTCAACATTGGGGGCCTTTGAAAGCCTTGCCCTCGATTTCCTTGGTTGCCATTGTTCCAACCGCCCTGATTGTTATTACCACCCCAGTTGTTGTTGTTGTCACTCCAATTACCCTGATTGTTCTGATTATTGTTCTGGTTGCCCCAATTGGAATTTATGTTGTTGTTCCCCCAATTACTATTCCCTTATTGTTGATTACCCTAATTGCTTTGGGTTCTCCATTATTGTTGGTTGGAAGAATTTCCCCTTTGGCCCTGATAATTGTTCACATATTGCACTTCTTCATTCTGCTCATCGTAACCATCATCTTGGAATCCACCACTATCATTGTCATATTGATCTGAACACCCTTGGTTCTTTTGACCTCTTTGTCTTCTTTTGTTCACTAACATGTTGACACCCTTCATAGCATTTAGTTGTCATGGATTTTAAACCTGCTGTAATTGTGCCTTTGCTAGCTAGTTCATTGTTGTTGTCAGTTCTGCTATTGCCTGCCCATGATCATGGAGCTCTTTATGTAAGTGAGTGATCGCGGGTTCACCCTATGGCACATTGGCTCTACTTTTTCAAGC